CAGCAGCATCATCAGCAGCAGCATCAGCAGTAACATCAGCAGTAACATCAGCAGCAGCAGCAGCAGCAGCATCAGCAGTAACATCAGCAGTAACATCAGCATCAGCAGTAACATCAGCATCAGCAGCAGCAGCATCATCAGCAGCAGCATCAGCAGTAACATCAGCATCAGCATCAGCAGCAGCATCCCTGTCCTCCAGTCCAGTCTAATGGCTCATAAATGTTTTATAGCAGTGCAGGATAACACCATGACATCTGGTGATGTGGTTCTGTCTCCACCACTGCCAGTTCTTTCACACTGTGATGAAAAGATGCCCACTGCCCCTGGGGCCCCCCCCCCCAGTTACAGGAAACAGGCTGGTGTCAGGCTCTAAATGTAAATGAACTCAGATAACAACAGCTATGAAAGGATTTTATTTTAGTCTGAGAATTATTAATGTTAATAATTAATAAATAAACTGGAACGTTTGGTTTCCCATACAGATACAATGAGACTTTGTCTCATTTCATTAGAGACAGTCAAGACACAGTTATAAAAACCTTACACTCCCCGTCCCTTATTTTGCTCCCAAAAACACAACTGTGGTGCAAAAATTATTGCGACGGCTGAAAATCTTCAGCCTTTGATCTTTGCAACCATCCAACCATCAAAGAGATCGCTCCTCCTAAAGTCAGACAACCACTTCACAGGATGCTGCTTCATTTCATCGACTTTGACAGAATGTTGAGCAGCGTCTCTCATTTCAGCTGGTTAGTAATCTCTGCTCACCAACGCTGAGGCTTCATTGCTTTCCAGATCACAGGCTTCCAGCCAGTAGCACAAAGCTACTACAATAATAAATTTGAAAGTGAGGTGCTGCCTGTGGCTATCAGTGCAGCATAAATTGAAAAAATACACTCTGGCTTTTTCCGATGCTGGGGGCAATGAATTTGAACCATAAATCCATTCTTCAAATAGCATTTTCTGTATGCTCACTCAGGCCTCCACTTTTCTCTACACCGTGTGTTGAAGAGCTGTTGAGATGTCACCCTCATCCAACACATGTTTTAGGCTAATGTTGAATCGTTGAACTTGTGCTTAACAAATGGAAGGGAAGGATTTTTGTCCCTTGTGACTTTGTTTCAGTGACATTTTTGATCATCGTTACCAGAACTACTGAATTCTAAGTCAATTTTGGCAGTTTTAATTTTTGATCTCTTACTTGGCCTTTGCAAATAATCACATTTTGATTTACAGTATATCTGAACTCAACAGCTGTAATAGAAAAAGTCTGCAATAAAGTAAAACATATTTTGTATTTTTATTTATTTTTTTTACTTGGTTGATTTTTATTTGCTTTTTATTGATAACTAATGCATAAAATCGGTTTTTGCAGTATTTTCAGATGGGAAGGCAAAGTTGGATATATGAGCAAAATGAGGCCTCAGAATAAAGTTCAGTGTTACCACCTGTGAACTACATATAGAAAGACCCCCCAGTTACCACACTGCAGAATGGTGTCAGCTCCTTCAATGTCCTGGATTCTGCTTTCTTTACATGCAGTCAGTCAAAGCACGTTGATGTCTGACTTTATCATCTTTACAGATTATACAGAGGAATTACAGCTTAGCCTTCGATAAATTCAACAAACAGCATAAATGTAATTCATGTTAATCACAAACAGGAAATGGGTTTTAAAATGTGCCGTCATTGTCCGAGGACCTTGAAGAGTCAACGTGAACTTACTCTTCCTCGTCACGTTCTTCCTGTTCTGTCCTTCTTCATTTTGCAGCGATTTCTTCAACTCAACATTTTCAGATCAGTTAACAGTAATTTGTCATTTATGACAGTGATGTTTATCAACAAGTACAGGCTCAGCTCTGCTCTGAAAACCACCTTCCAGCCTTTGTATCTAACGTGGGTGCAAATATAACCCAGTTTACTCAGGTCAAACTACAGGCAGTGGGTGCTTTTGGTTTTTAAGGAGTAGAAAACAAATTAGACACTTTACATGGATACGTTGTAAACCAACGGGGAAATAACCAACAACTATTATTAAGTCCTGCTGACCTTTGACCTTTGAAGTTTCTTTCCACCAGTTAACACAGGTTAACACATGTAGCAGCAGAGATTAACGTTTTTTGCCAAAGCATTAATTAACGGTTGTGACGACGACGTCGACTCTCAACGGCATTCACACGACATTGGCAGGAAGTGCATGGGAATTTGTAGTTCAGGAGACATTGATTAAATATGCTCCAGACAATTAGCTCATCAAATTGAGTGTGTCCTCCTCTCCTGTGGCAAGGTGATGTCATCGTTTTATGGGGCATTAGGCAGTGGTCCTCCCTGTGTCTCCTTAGACGTCACTGGAGAACAAGCCTCGGCGGAGGAAGCGATTTTGCCGAATGCTTGTGTATAAATGTGAGTCCTGCAGGGTAAAGAGAAGGCTGAGTGATCCTGTTAGACCAGTGTCAATACTGACGCCCATCACTGTGTTTGCCCTCCCTGCAGGGTCGCAGGCTCGTCTGGGATCTCAGTGACATCTCAGTGATGTCTGCACACGGCTCCTCATTCTGAGATGCAAATATTCCTGATACAGGAATACAGACACCAACATTATCATCGTATTTGATTATCACTAGGTTTTAGTTAGAAGGTTGGTTGATATTCTAAAATACAACTTTCAAAACTTTTTTGTGAACTTCACTCACCATCTGTGCTTCACTGTCAAGGCGAGTAAATGTCAAGTTGTTGTCAATCTGTTTTCCCATTGGTTCCAGAAAGTTCTAGGATTGACTTTTATAGAACTTATTGACCAAATTCTGTCCTGGCCAATTCCTGGTTTCTCTCATTTTGCTGCAGTTTATCGTGGTTCATTCTAATTCACATAAACAAACGTGAACTCTTGACTCTCATGTATTTGGAGGAACATTAATTTCATTGGTCAAAGATTTCTTTCCTCACCCCTGATACAAGACTGTTGTCAGTTTGCTGTGGCATTTTATTTGAATCGATAACTTATTATTATTATTATTATTATTATGTTTTATGTATTTTCCTGACAACGTCAAACATAGTGTAAAATTTCATTTTTTATGTCATTGTGAGACGTGATTTTTCTTTCTTTACTGCAGGGTGGAAAGATTTAAGATCACAAAATATCTGAATACGTAGAACAACCTGATTATTTTTGGCAAGAATAATACAAACAGTATCTTCTAAAATTTTGACAAAAGTTGAGATGTAGAACTAAAATATGCTCATTTCTTTTACCTACAGAAACATCAGCATGTTGAAGGAGTGATATCACTACAGGCAGATACTCTGTTGCATTGGTGTCAGACATGAACAGTTGTATGGAGCCATCGCTAACCTTCATTTAACTTGGCTTTGAAATATTTACATATAGAAACAAACCAACAATAAAATGGTTTAAAAACAGCTTATTCTAAATGATTTATATCAGGACCAGGATATTTAATTATTAAAGTCTAATTTATTTCACTTCAAATCAGTCCAAAATACCTGGTGTGGTTCTGATCTGTCAATCAGTCTGTTTGATCAGTTCCAGTCAGTTTGTAGTCCTAGTATGACCTGCCGACCTCCATCACTGCAGCCTCTCTGAAGCTGGTCATCAGATGACAAACAGTCAGTCAGCAACAGTCAGCCAGTGAACTCACTGGAGGTTTACCCAAACTGGGATGTTGTCTGTTGTTCACTCACCGTGTGATTGTCAAGGTCAACATGCAACACAGTCTGAATATTGTTTCCATGCCAACCGTTGGCAAAAACAAATAAACAAAAAAAACCTGACTGTAAAAGCAGAGTAGATCAGGAGGAAATAAATAAAAAAACATCTTCAAAATTATTAGTTGTGATCAGGCAAAAAGAAACTCTGTCTTTTTTTCTAATAAACCTTAGCTTTTTAACCTATTTACCTACCGTACAGTGTCAACAAATGATCCAGTCTGATGGTGTTCACTGGGAGTAACTGTGTTACTCTGTGTACAATAAATACAAACAGGTTTATATACAGTAAACACAGCCTTTTAGCTGTGCTGGAGTTAATGTTGGTTTACAGGAACACCCTGTTTCCTTTCATCTAAATAACATTCACTCTTCTCACTGAAGGCAGGACAAAAGAAACAAAGAAAAAACATTGGTGAAAGAAGGAGTAATACTTTTGGTATTTAGTCACCTCAGTACATGCAGTCACTTCTGCTAAAGACTGAATAGAAAACATAGAAAGTTGGTTGTAAACATACTGTGGAAATTTCAATTTCAATTTCCTGAAAACCTGGAGAGCTCCACTGGTTTTTAACGTTCCTCCTTCAGACCTAATGGTTCCTAGGGCTTCTAGAACTAAGGCTGAGGCTATTCAACATCAATAGTAGTTAGATAATAAATGTCCAACACTGTCAAAAGAATGACACATATGTTTGGCTGCAGGATGTCTGGAACAGAAGTGTCCTGCACAGACACAGTCCTTTAATCCATTTATATTTAGTATGAAATGTCAGAACCTGTTTGACTTTTATTCCACTGTAAAAATCTTCAGTAAATATTCAGTATTTAGTTTGGCTAAAACACACATTTAAATTGTTTTCTTGGACAAACTGCATGTTACACCGTAGAGGATAAAGGCACAATTACCGTATTTATATAACGTCCCTCAACAGGTTTTTTTCTTTTCATCTTTCTGTTTTCAGCAGTTTGTGTTCAAACCTAATGTGGTGC